AGTATCTGACTTTACTTAAGGTCTACTTCATGAGGTGGAATCCATACCAGACATTGTTTAAGAAATCAAGAACCGCCGGGCGGTGGTGGCGCACACCTTTAATCCCAGCTCTCCGGAGGCAGAGGCAGGCGGATCTTTGTGAGTTCGAGACCAGCCTGGTCTACAGAGCTAGTTCCAGGACAGGCTCCAAAACCACAGAGAAACCCTGTCTCGAAAAACCAAAAAAAAAAAAAAAAGAAAAAGAAATCAAGAACCTGGGATTAGATAATCCAAGGATCCAAGGACCTAGGGTAAAACCAAATACCACTGGTCTTCAACAAAACAAAGCCAATTGCAATAAAATGACAGCTAATTTTGTCATTTGTTGGTGCAAGCCTGGACTCCCAGCACTTAGGAGGCAGAGGCAGGTGGATCTCAGTGAGCTCGAGGCCAGCCTGGTCTACCAGAGCGAGTTCCAGTACAGCTAGGACTATCACAGAAAAAAAAAGACTCCTAATGATATTTTGCTATATTCATACTCAGTGCCTTGCTCAGCCATCATCAGAAAAGCTTCCTCCTGCGGCTGATGGGAACAAAGACAGCCAGACATTATGTGAATTGAGAGACCTAGAACACTGAGCCAACAGTACATCTCCATGAACTCTGTCCCCTCAGGGCTCAGGGAACCCCATGGAAGAGGAAGCAGAGAGTGTAAGAGCCCAGAGGGGATGGAGGACACCAAGAAAACAAGGACCTTTAAATCAACATGACCAAAGCACACTGGAATTCACACAGAACTGCACAAAAGCTGCTAACTGGCTTGCTCCTTCTGGCTTACCTTTCTCTTGCCTAGGAATGGGGCCACCCACAATAGGCACTAGCAATTAACAAAATGCCTCACAGATATAGATAACCACTGACCAATCTGATTAAAGCAATCTTTCAGTTGACATTTCCTCCTCCCGTGTGACTCTAAGTCTGTATAAGTTGACAGTTGAAGATAACTATGACATTCCACCCCACTCCCATTCCAGTCAACCTTGACACATAAACACGGCACTTCAAACCATAACCTTTCAACACTCTAAAAGTCTAAGATCTCAAAAAGAGAAGAAAATAAAATTAAATTTAAAAAGCCCAAAATCTTTTAAAAATTCTAATGTCGGGGGCTGGAGAGATGGCTCAGTGGTTAAGAGCACTGACTGCTCTTCCAGAGGTCGAGAGTTCAATTCCCAGCAACCACATGGTGGCTCACAACCATCTGTAATGAGATCTGGCGCCCTCTTCTGGCATGTGGGCATGCATGGAGGCAGAATGTTGTATACATAATAAATAAATAAATCTTTAAAAAAAAAAAAAAAAAAAAAAAAAAAAATTCTAATGTCTTATGCTCAGCGGTGGAGGCGCAAGCCTTTAATCCCAGCACTCAGGAGGCAGAGACAGGCGGATCTCTGTGAGTTCGAGGCCAGCCTGGTCTACAGAGTGAGTTCAGAGACAACCAGGGCTGTTACACAGAGAAACCCTGTCTTGAAACCACACCCCTCCCCCGCCGCAAATTCTTACGTCTCTCAACTGTGGACTCCTGTAAAATCAAAAAGAACAAAACAAAACAAAACAACAACAAAAAAAATCAAGCCTCCTAACTCACGTCTTTAATCCAAGAATTTGGGAAGCAGAGGCAGGTAGAACTTTGTGAATTCAAGGCCAGCCATGGTCTACAGTGAATTCCAAGATAGTTAATGCTACACAGTGAGACCTTGTCTCAAAAAAATATACTTTCTTATTCTAACAGGAAAAAACAAGAGCAAATTATAATTAGATCAACATAAAACCAAACCCCAACTATATAAAAAGCTCAGTGTACAGGATCTGGGGCTCACTTAGGAACTTCTGGGCTCCAAAGGGCTTGGGCAGTCTCTCTGCTCTGATTCTGCCATCCACAGCACACTTTGTCTTATTCAGGCTGGATCCATTCTGCAGTTGCCTGCCACTGTCCTTGGTGGACGCCCATGGGCCCAGCATCTACAATGTCTTGGAGTCTCCACTGCAACTGAGGCTGCTCCTTCACCAGTGCCTATTCTGGCCTCGCACAGGGCCAAGTCTCAGGTCCTTTCCATAGCTCCTTCAATCCCCCGTCCTCCACTGCACCTACCATTTTCCACACCGATTTCTAGAACATTTATTTAAAATTGAATGTAATTTAAACTCAGGTGTGCAGCTAGGGATGCAGCTCTGTTGGTAGAGTGCTTGATCGGCATTCATGCAGCCCTGGGTTTAAGTCTCTAGCACCGCATAAAAGCAGGCCTGGTGAGCAGGGCAGTGGTGGTGGTGCTGTATGCCTTTAAAACCAGCGCTCGGGAGTTCGAGGCCAGCCTGGTCTACAAGAGTGAGTTCCAAGACAGGCTCCAAAGCTACACACTACACAGAGAAACCCTGTCTCAAAAAACAAAAACAAAAAACAAAACAAAACAAAAAAACAGGCCTGGTGTTAAAGGCCTATTGTCTCAGCACTTGGGAGCAGGAGGATCACAAGTTGAAGGCTGAAGGTCATTCTCAGCTGTATTGAAAGTCTGAGGCCAGACTAGAATCGATGAGACTTTGGGGAGATGGCTCAGTGGGTAAGATACTTGCCATGAAAGTGTGAAGACCCAAGTCTGGGTCTCTAGAAGCCACAAAAACCTGAGAGGTTAATAGTAAAGAAGACAGAGATCCTGTGCTAAAGGTGGAAGGTGAGGGTTCACACTTCAGGCTACCCTCTGACCTCTGCATGAGTATATGCTTTTAAGGGTCATTCTTATTCAAACTACCAGTGTGTGTGTGTGTGTGTGTGTGTGTGTGTGTGTGTGTGTCTGTGTCTGTGTCTCTGTGTCTGTGTGTCTGTGTGTGTTTGGTAATTTCATACATGAATACATTCCAACTCTGGAGAAATTGGAATTTCTTCTTACAAGTTCACACACATACATGCACACACAAAGAAATATGTGTAATAAATGCAGTAATTTTTAATTGTGACAATATTTTCAATAAAGTATTTATCATGTCCTATCTTCTCTATGCCATTTTTTAAATGAAGCAGAGTTGGGTTTATTAAGGGGCTTTAAAACAGATTTTAAACATGAGAGTAAGGAGAGAAGCAGAAGCAGTCAGAAAAATACCCAAGAGCATGGGTGTGGCCTTCTTAAGAGAGAGAGCAGCCTGTGAGCTGTGGGCTGCTCTAAGAGAGAGCAGGGGTGGGGGCTTACTAAGACAGAGCAGGGAGGGGTGCAGGCTTCTCTAAGACAGAGCTGCTGTCATTTAATTCTTATCTTTGCTGAATGTACTTACAGAGTAGAAGCAGTTAAATCATCTTTGCTCCGGTTTCTTTATTAAATTCCCCTTTTATTTCCTAAAATGATGGACAGGGTAGGGATTGTTTCTCCTATGAAATATGCAAGAAGTAAACAAATGATTCGTGTGTGGGTTTTATTGATATGGAGATTTCCACAAGACATTCAAACAAGAAAAGCAGAGCTGTGCATGGCAGGCTGGAAGAATTCGCAGCCACCATTGTTACCTCACAACCTGCAGCTGCTCGCTTCCCAAGGCTCTCCCTCCCACCCCTGCTCCTTGCCAGCCCAGCGGGAATGAATGGGCTCCATAGAGCAGTGGAAATAGTGCTGCTGACAACCAAGGCTCCGCTATGAAAACTAAAAGGGAAGTCATCTGTCAAAATCCAAGTTTTAGCTTGGCGCCCAAACAAATATCTCTTTACCTCTGAATTTTTATCCAGCAAATGTTCAGTGATCTGCAGCTCAGAGCCTTTCTCTAGATGATCCTCGCTGATAATGGAGGCTTTCTAAATAGCAGAAGAATGGCACTGTAATCCATTTCCTAGGGGTGACAGCAAGGCATTTTTGTCCCAAGAGGTGACTGAGCAACAACCACAGTCGCCAGCTGAATAGCAGTGGTGTGAGCAGTTACTGTTCCCACAGTTGGGTTTCCACCCAACTGCAGAAGCGGCTATTTACGGAATTTAGGGAACTACGGAAAACGAACTGCAGTCGGGCTGACATTGCACAGTTGTCTGGGGATGGAAACCACGTTACAAAATGGTTTCCTTTTATATTATATAATTCTCCTCTTTTAATTTGGTGTCTCGGTTATTTTTTTCTTGATATCACCCTTCCAGCAAAAAGAGCATTGCAGAAATAAAAGCCCACTTGAAGAAAGAGCTGGTTTTTAAACTCAATTCTTTCTCCTTATGCTTTCTGAATCTTGTGTTAGAAAGAATGGCTCATTTCTAGGGATAAGACATCACAGGCTGGGGTGGGGGATGGGGTGGTGGGAGTGGGCATGGAAGAGTGATGGAATATTATCAGTAAAGAAAGTTCTCTAGTAAACTATTAAATTCTGTTTTTATGTTATTTCTGTTTTGTTCTCTTTTGCTTCTTGAGACATGATCTAACACTATAATCCAGGCTGGCCTCAAACTAGCTGCAATCCTCCAGCCTCAGCTTTCTCAAGGTTGGGATTTATATGTTTGAGCCACTAAAGCCTTGAATTGCAGATCTTCCTGCCTCTGACTCCCACGTGCTGTTGGAGTTACAAGGGTGACCTATTCATCCTGGGCTTCTGAATCTTGTTCCGATAACAGCAATAATTGTAAAAATCAGCATTTACCAGGCCATTTTGAGCATCGTTCCCATCTTCTCTGCTATTTTTTAAAAAGCAATTAAAGATATTGGATCCTGATAGAATGTAGTCAAATTTAGTGTACTATGAATGAAAAACTGGAATTTTCCATTAAAAAAATCTCAATATAAATTCTGTGATTAAGTGTTGGGGAAAACCTTAGATTATTTTAACTATAGTTTAAGGTTTAAACCATGTATAATCATCCAGCCCCTATTTTCTTTCTTCCCTTTCCTCCCCTCCCCAACCCCACCCCATAATGGATGCTCGGCTAGTTGCCTTTGCTCAGCCTTTGTCTGAAGGATGCAAAGTCTACGGATGCTAGGGGGAAGGGGTGGGGGAGAGATTACCTCATACCATGTCGCTTGCACCAATCACCACTCTCCTGTCACGGCTTCTCTGGGCAGACAGAGGGGTCTGGACCAACAGGAAAAGGCCAAGGCCCATCCCCATGGTGACTGAGCTGTATATAAGGAGCTGCATCCGCCCATGTGCCGCAGGTTCTCTTACATCGACCGCCTAAGAGTCGCGCTGTAAGAAGCAACACCTCCTCCTCGTCTCCGCCATCCTCCGGGAAGCAGGGAAGCAGCAACCATGGTGAGCCACCTTCCTAAGCACTCGGTAGCGGGAGGGAGTCAGTCCCCCGAGATCTACAAGTCACCCCTGAGGGGAAGGTGGTCTCCATGCCTGTTAAATTGAGCTTGGCACGGAGTCCGTAAGTCCCGCCGCCGCACTGCGGATTAGGGAAACGCCCAGACCCGGGGAAGAACAAAGGCGCCGGCGAGTGCTGGTTCGCACTGCCTGGGGTCGCCGGGGCCGGAGCTCAAGCGCGGGATGGGGGGGTATGCTGCGGCGGGCAAGTGGGCAGGGCGGCGGCCGAGCCCGCACTCCAGAAACGCCGCCCCACTTCTGGGAAAATGGTTAGTTTGCGTCGGAACCATGGCAGCCGGTGTCAGGGAGGCGCAGGGGTGGGGTTGTTTGTCTCCTGCTTCCGTGGCGTTTTGGGAGGGGTTCGCCCTCTTTAAACTTCCCTTGGAAGCGGATTTGTATTTTACGTTTTAAAAAATTGTTGTGGAACTGTAGTCTAACAAGAGGTTTTGTTTGCTTGAGTATCAGAAGTACGATTTACTTAATAACGGGGACGTCTCTCTTGGGGGAGGGGTCTGGATGATTGGTGGAAGGACAAAGCCCACTTTGTGAAGGCTGGAGTACCTCGATTGTCAAAACCCGGGGAAACGCCCTTCCCCGCCCGCCCCCCCCCCGCAGACAATGAAAGCAGTAGCTATAAAGGCGATAGAATAATATCTCTACAGACTGCAATAATAGTAATATATTATGTGGTATGTAAAGACTTACCGAATAAAAATACCATTTTCTAGTTTTAAATGTTATCTTTATCGTTAGTGCTTGTTTCTATCTTAGCTTTAAGGATATTTCTGTTCTACATAGTAGAAAAGAATCTGGGAAGCCTTCAGAAAATGATGAAACTGCTGCAAAGAAAAAAATTATAGCTTGTATCCGACTGTCTTTTGTTCTAACACATTTTCAGTAATTCATTAATTCAGGCAACTGGCCCAGACAGGGTCAGGAGGGCTAGGAGACTGAAAGCAGCAAAGAGATCGTATAGACAGCTGCTGGAAATAGAGCTTTCTCTGTTAAATAATGAAACAAAGGGCGCAGACCAGCACCAGGCACAGAAAACGCAGCAATGCAGAAGTCACACTTTGTCTAGCTTCTAACCTCCGAGTACTGATGGGTTCTGAAGATACTCTGCAGAAGGGTGTGGCTCTGGCCTCAGCCACAATACAGATTCCATGCTGAAACACCATATCCTATAAGACGAAACATTCATGTTTACTCATCAGGAAAAGAAGCAACTAAAGTAATGCCAGACAATTATCTTATTTTACAGAATCTGTACTTTTAATATTTTTAAGCTATTCAAGTATGGCTGTGGGAACAATGGGTTTGCAGTATTAAGGTGACATTGCTCAGACCACACCCATTTGCAGTGTTTGTAGCAGGTACTCTTATTGTTTCTGTTATATTGGGGATATGACTCCAAACATATTTCAACACTGTTTGTACTATTAGAAACACTTTAGAAATCTATTAAAATCTAAAATAGAAATACAGTTTAATTTGTTTTTTTTTCCACAGCGTGAGTGCATCTCCATCCACGTCGGCCAGGCTGGTGTCCAGATCGGCAATGCCTGCTGGGAACTCTACTGCCTGGAACATGGCATCCAGCCTGATGGCCAGATGCCAAGTGACAAGACCATTGGGGGAGGAGACGACTCCTTCAACACCTTCTTCAGTGAGACAGGCGCTGGCAAGCACGTGCCCCGGGCAGTGTTCGTAGACCTGGAGCCCACGGTTATTGGTGAGTGGACCAGGGGCTTCCCTGAGGCATTCTGCCGGGGTCACATCCTCAGACCTCTCTTCAGACGCTGAAGGATGAGTGAGCCAGTGTTGGTGGCGGGTGGCTGACTTGTCCTCCTTTTCCAGATGAGGTTCGCACTGGTACCTACCGCCAGCTCTTCCACCCTGAGCAGCTCATCACAGGCAAGGAAGATGCTGCCAATAACTATGCCCGTGGCCACTACACCATTGGCAAGGAGATCATCGACCTCGTCTTGGACAGAATTCGCAAGCTGGTAAATACCATAGATGGGTACATTTAAGGTGCAGTGAGAGGGTTGTGGTGTTGAGTGTGCCAGCCAATTCAATCTTTTTTTTTTTAATTTTATTTATTTATTTATTTATTATGTATACAATATTCTGTCTGTGTCTATGCTCGAAGGCCAGAAGAGGGCACCAGACCCCATTACAGATGGTTCTGAGCCACCATGTGGTTGCTGGGAATTGAACTCAGGACCTTTGGAAGAGCAGGCAATGCTCTTAACCTCTGAGCCATCTCTCCAGCCCCAGCCAATTCAATCTTTCCTTTTGTCTTACAGGCTGACCAGTGCACAGGTCTTCAGGGCTTCTTGGTCTTCCACAGCTTTGGCGGGGGAACTGGCTCTGGGTTCACCTCCCTGCTGATGGAGAGGCTCTCTGTTGATTACGGAAAGAAGTCCAAGCTGGAGTTCTCCATCTACCCCGCCCCCCAGGTTTCCACTGCTGTGGTTGAGCCCTACAACTCCATCCTCACCACCCACACCACCCTGGAGCACTCTGATTGTGCCTTCATGGTGGACAACGAGGCCATCTATGACATCTGTCGTAGGAACCTCGACATTGAGCGCCCTACCTACACTAACCTAAATAGGTTGATAGGTCAAATTGTGTCCTCCATCACTGCTTCCCTCAGATTTGATGGAGCCCTGAATGTTGACCTGACAGAATTCCAGACCAACCTGGTGCCCTACCCTCGCATCCACTTCCCTCTGGCCACATATGCCCCTGTCATCTCTGCTGAGAAAGCCTACCATGAGCAGCTTTCTGTAGCAGAGATCACCAATGCCTGCTTCGAGCCAGCCAACCAGATGGTGAAATGTGACCCTCGCCACGGTAAATACATGGCTTGCTGCCTGCTGTACCGTGGTGATGTGGTTCCCAAAGATGTCAATGCTGCCATTGCCACCATCAAGACCAAGCGTACCATCCAGTTTGTGGACTGGTGCCCCACTGGCTTCAAGGTTGGCATTAATTACCAGCCTCCCACTGTGGTACCTGGTGGAGACCTGGCCAAGGTCCAGAGAGCTGTGTGCATGCTGAGCAACACCACAGCCATCGCTGAGGCCTGGGCTCGCCTAGATCACAAGTTTGATCTGATGTATGCCAAGCGTGCCTTTGTGCACTGGTATGTGGGTGAGGGCATGGAGGAGGGGGAGTTCTCTGAGGCCCGTGAAGACATGGCTGCCCTGGAGAAGGATTATGAGGAGGTTGGTGTGGATTCTGTTGAAGGAGAGGGTGAGGAAGAAGGAGAGGAATACTAAATTAAATGTCACAAAGGTGCTGCTTTTACAGGGAAGTTTATTGTGTTCCAACATAAAAAATGTGGTCTGATCAGCTAATCTGTATGTGGCAATGTGTGCTTTCATACAGTTACTGACTTATGCTTTAAAATGAAGGATTTGTCATAGACCCAAGCCGTCCATTTCACTGATGAATTTTAAATAAAATACTCCCTGTCTTAAAAGTTGTCTTGTGTTTTACATTTGGGTGTGTCCTAGTTTTCATTCTTTTGCTGAGATAAACATCTTGATTGAAAGCAACTTGGGGAGGAAAGGGTTTATTGTATCATACTGACCCTTAAGAGAAGTTGAGGCAGGATCTGAAGCTCGAGCAATAAAGGAGTGCAGTGCTGCTTACTGGTTTGCACACCATTACTCTGTTGCTGGTTTAGTCAACCCAAGACCCCTGCTGGGGTGGCACAGCCTTCAGGGCCGGTAATCAAGAAGATGCCCTCAGATGACCTCTTGTGGAGGCATCTTTTCCCCTCCCGTGACTCGACATTGTGTGAAGTTGACAGACAACCACCACAGGGTATGAAAATTCAGGATTTTGAGAAGACAAAATAATGAACAATATAAAGATTTGGTATACCTTGCTCATCCTAGATAGAGGGGAGAGGAGGGCCTTGGTCTTGCCTGAAGTGAAGTGTCAGGCTTTGTTGACTCCCCATGGGATGGAAGCTTCACCCTTTCTAAGGAGTGGATGAGGTGAGGGCAAGGTAGGGGGAAGCGAGAGGAGGGGAGGGAGTGGGAATGGGGATATTATGTCAAATGAGAAGAGATTATATTAAAAAATTAAAAGATTTGGTGTATGCCTGTAGTAGCAACACTTGGGCGGCAGAGGCAGGAGGACTAAATGGTGACCTGTATAACAAGTTGCAGGCCAGCTTGAGCTACATGAAACCTCAAAAATAACTTTGGAAAATAAATATAAAATACAAATAAGCAGACATGTTGTACACCTTTAATCTTAACACGTAGGCAGAAACAGATGGATCTCTGAGGCCTGTCCACTCTACCTAGCAGGTTCTAGGCCATCCAAGGCTGCAAATGAGACCTGACTTTTAAATATAAATGATAGAATTGCTGCTGGTATCTTACGTAAATGCTACAGTTAATTTTAAGTTATCTTAATATAAGATATATATGTAGTGATTATCACTAGAAGGGAAAGAAAAAGAAAGAGCTAATTGGGAACATAGGGCAGTGAGAATAAAGTATGGCACATGAGGATGGCAATGCCATCCACAGGCACACATGATGAGTTCAAGGTCAGCCTGGTCTACAAAGCAATTATCAGGACAGCCAGGTTGTTATGCAAAGAAATCCTGCCTCAGCAAAAAAGAAAAAAGAAAGACAGAAGGAAGGAAGAAACGAAAAATTAAAAAGATTACGATAAAAAATAAAACATTGTTTTCACTATTTACATTTTCACCTCAT